TGAATCCACCAATTGGTACACTGTGTCTAGCTAACCTAGTGGAGACTTGGAGGACTAGCACTCTGTGACTCTGTGTCTAGCTCAAGGATTGTAAATGCACCCATCAGCACTCTGTCAAAACGGACCAATCAGCTCTCTGTAAAGTGGACCAATCAACTCTCTGTAAAATGAACCAATCAGCAGGATGTGGGTGGGGCCAGATAAGGGAATAAAAGCAGGCTACCCAAGCCAGCACTGACAACTTGGTAGGGTCGGGTTCTGCTTTATGGAAGATTTGTTCTTTGGGTGTTTGCAGTAAATCTTGCTGCTGCTCACTCTGGGTTCATCCTGCAGTTACGATCTGTAACACTCACTGGAAAGGTCTGCAGCTTCATTTCTGAAGCCAGATAAACCACGAACCCACAGGGAAGAAAGCACAACTGCAGACGTGATGCCTTTAAGAGCTGTAACAGTGACCACGAAGGTCTGCAGCTTCACTCCTGACAGTGAGACCACGAACCCATAAGAAGGCAGAAGCTCCAGACACATCTGAACGTTTGAAGGAACAAAATGTGGACATACTGTTTTTAAGAATTCCTGACACTCACTGTGAGGGTCTGTGGCTTCATTCTTGAAATCAGTGAGACCAAGAACCCACCAATTCCCGACACACTTATCATTCAGCTATGTCTCATCAAGCCTTTTCTGGACCAATTGTGCTGTTCTCAAGAGTGTTTATATGACTTTATCCTTTGTGCAAAGGCTATAGGCAACGGAAGCGACAGAGAAGTATGTGGAATGTTGAGCCACATAGTTGTTTCCACATGCAGCTTTTCAATCTTCTTGGTTTCTGTTTCTCTTCCCAGTTCTTATCATCCACGATTCTGGAAAAACTGCCATTCCATTGGCACTGGGAGTACTCAGAGTGGTGGGTCGCTTCTTAGCTAAACTGTCAGGACAATTCTATTATCCTTCAGACTTCCAAATGTCATCACATCATCTTAGTGCCTGACCTCCTTTTCTCTCTTTCACAAGATATTCATGGCTTCTTTTAAATGGGATAACGGCCAAGTGAAAAGTGTGTCTTTTCTGAAAAAATTGCTGAAAGGTGAGTAATGTGCCAAATTTATTTTCTTACAAAGTTTTTAAAGAAAAAATTAGGGTTGGAATGAAAGTAGGGATATTTTTATCCAATTACCTCATTCAGTTATCATCAAGGTCAGAGAAGAAACTTCAGCCTTTGCTAGAAGCAACTTGCAACAAATGACAGATGTACTGACTGTGAACATTCATCCAGTGATAGCAATGTTCCACGTATCACATGGTATACAGAAATACAGCAATTAAAATAGTTTTACAGATGCAGGTCAAGCAGTAATTACTTTTGCCCAGTAATCTTAAAGAAATTGTATGTGGAGAACAGGAAGCTTAGGAAATTAGGGTGCCTTTTGTCTTTGCAGTGACAATTTACCTTGCAGCTCACAGTGACGTATTCTGGATTTTAAAAAGCAGCGCTTTTTTTTTTTTTTTTTTTTAATCTGCTGGCTGTTTTGCTTTTAGCAGCCACAGACCTCTTGGTCTCTCAAAGACCTGGATGCTTGAAACTTCTGAAGAGATACTGCTTTCAGCTGCTTCTCAGTGGCAGCAAGGTGTGAACGTGTAGCTCCAATTATCTCTCTGCTTGCTTTAGCCTGCTGGTGCTTAATTAGGTGCTTATCCTAACACCTTAGAACATACTTTCTGTAGATGGTTTAATTCCAGCAATCATACATGCTTTTCCTAAGAGTTTCTTCAGCTTCTCAAAACTTCCCTGTAAATGAGGCCTTGTAGGTCGTTTTCTTGCTATGACCTCACCTTCTGTTTAGCACAGAAACAGCATCCATTGCTGTTATGCAATGGATAAAATTGTATAACAATGGTCATGGTTCCATATCTTTATTTATTTATTTATTTATTTATTTGAGACGGAGTCTCGCTGTCTGCCAGGCTGGAGTATAGTGGTGCGCTCTCGGCTCACTGCAAGCTCTGCCTCCAGGGTCGTGCCATTCTCCTGACTCAGCCTCCCAAGTAGCTGGGACTGCAGGCGCCTGCCACCTCGCCTGGCTAATTTTTTGTATTTTTAGTAGAGATGGGGTTTGCTGTGTTAGCCAGGATGGTCTCGATCTCCTGACCTCGTGATCCACCCGCCTTGGCCTCCCAAAGTGCTGGGATTATAGGCGTGAGCCACCGCGCCCTGACAAGACTTTTATAAATTGCCAGACTGCATTGCATAAACCAAATGGCAACAGAGAGGTGACCTTTCAAATTACTGGCACAACAGGAGCCAAAATCAGAAAAGGTCCAACTTAAAGCAAACACTGACAAGAAATCCGACAGAAATGACTTCTGTGTCTGGTCAACGTAACATAACGTGACATTGTAAAGCGTATTTGGCTTTTTAGGTAGAATTGTGTATAAAGGTTTAACTGCTTTAGAAAATATAAATCTGAAGATTTGTGGTATTTGGGTTTGTATAGAAGATTTTTCTACATTTAAAAGAGACAGAGTGGAAAAGCTTGGTATAAGATTTGTAAAACGTATTTGTAATAATGCTAATAGAAGAGGTGAGAGTTGGGTGGGGTGGGGTGTAGATGGGAACATAGTTTGGGGATTGGGGAAAGGGAAGTTATGCTGTAAATAAAATAGTGAGGCATGTTATAGAAAGTGTGTTTTATGTCTCAATTGAAATGTTATAGAGATAAATTTAAAATAGATCATGATGGGTTTTGAATCTGATTTCTAATTTTAAAATGTTAGGAGCTTTTGTTGCTTTCCTAGTTCATACACATTTCTTTTTTTTTTTTTTTTTTTTTTTTGGAGTGCAGTAGCCGGATCTCAGCTCACTGCAAGCTCTGCCTCCCGGGTTCACGCCATTCTCCTGCCTCAGCCTCCCGAGTAGCTGGGACTACAGGTGCCCACCACCTCGCCCGGCTAGTTTTTTGTAGTTTTTAGTAGAGACAGGGTTTCACCGTGTTAGCCAGGATGGTCTCGATCTCCTGACCTCGTAATCCGCCTGTCTCGGCCTCCCAAAGTGCTGGGATTACAGGCTTGAGCCACCGCGCCTGGCCCATACACATTTCTTTATGGGTTTCACTTAGGCTCCATGAAACTGCAGATGCCAATTACCTTTTAACAAAATTAAATTCACATATATGTATAATTCACATGTATATATTCGTGGAATTTTTTATTCTATACATGATATATTATTTTAAAATGGTTTATCAATGACAAAACAAAAAGTATAATTTTTCTGTACTTTCAGTTTTCTGGTTTGGATTTTTTTCTGGCAACACTAATTTTCACCTACCTATAGTCATTGATAGTATAAAATTGTACAAGTGCATATTTTACCATGTTTACATTTGAGTGGATGACTGGAGGTGTACCTGTGATGACTAATACTTTCTAAACACATATTTACTTCTCATCTATCTGTGTAAATGATTGTAAGAGGAAGGGGAAAATACAGATGTATCATTATGTTTACTGTCTTAAAGCACATTCAACTGCTGTCAAGTTTGGAGAATTTTGAATGTGATGAATGTTTCTGTTTCACCGCTAACAGGTTGTATGTGTGAGCCAGATCTTATTGCAAGTGTGTGAAAGGCTATTGCAAATATGGGATATTGCAAGACAGTTAGTAAAAAGCAAATTGAGTCTATTGAGAAATTAATTCACCAGCTGAAAGAAGCACATTTGTCTTAGAGTCATCAGATATTCTACCCACCAGACTCATCTCCAAGACAGCATCCCTAATGAGCTTCCTAAACCAACTAAACATAAGCAGGAAGCATTAGTCATCAAAACTGACTATTTTCAGCCAATCAGCTGACTGCACAAACTGTATGGCGTTGAGGAAAGGAAGAACATTCTGAAAGTTTTTTTCTTTTTTCATTCTGTCCTCATTTTGTTGGTTTCTCAATTTTACGGATGCAGTGTCATGCACAGAACCCTGTAAATGAGCATAGTTCATTCAAGTATATAAAGTGCTTTCATGTATTCTTATTCAGTGGAATAAAATGAATTTTAACAGGCTTAAGTGATTTGCCTAAAGGCACACAATTAATGTGTGGCTGGAATTCAAAATCGTGTCTTTTCCTCCTTTCTGATTGTTTTATAAATAAGGGTGTAGTGACGATTTTCTACCCACCGTGACAGGGAATAAGTTCAAAATTTAAAACACTGTTCATTTTATAACTAGGTAGACTCAAATGACAGATTCAAGGCAGGGAGGGGGGCCAGTCATTGTTATTCCCATATGGGCTCGCTCCTTCAAAGACAGGATCAGGGTAGCAGTGCCAGCTCCTACTGGTTATAATGATCTTAATGATAAAGTTAACTAACCATAAGTGAATACTCATAATGTGCTAGCACTTGTCATAATGTATCCCAAAGAGTACTCACAAAACCTTCTAAATAATTGTTACCTTCTGGTTGTCTTTGTTTTATTTTGTTTCGTTTTGTTTGAGACAGGGTCTCACTCTGCTGCCCAGGTTTTAGTGTAATGATGGTTCACTGCAGCGTCCAACTCCTGGGCTTAGGTAATCCTCCCTCCTCAGCCTCCCAAGAATCTGAGACGACAGGCATGCAAAACCACTCCCAGCTCCAAATAAATATTCTTATCCCATTTTACTGATGCAGAAAAACGTATGGCCCAGAGAAGTAATGTTAAGTTTACTGGGGGATTTAAGTTGTAAAAATTCATTTTATCGAACCCTAATATAAACTATGGACTCTGGGTGATAGTGACGTGTCAGTGTAGGGTCTTCGATTATAACAAATACATCATTCTGGTGCAGGATGTTGACAGTGGGGTAAGCTGTGTGTGTATGGGAGTAGGGAGTCTATGGGAACTCTTCTACCTTCCACTCAATTTTGCTGTGAGCTTAAAACTACTCCAAAAAATGAAGTTTATTAATCAAGAAAAAAATATTCTATTTTCTGAATATATGGGACAGCTATTCGTGTATGTGGTAAAAATGAAGAGAGATTTGTCACAGTACACGGCCTGTCTAATACGACTGATATTCATGTGTCAGTTATAAAAACTGGCTTCATTATCAATCTGTAGATTCATTTCATTTATGTATGTTCGCTTAAGGGTGCACACATGGAAACCTTTTGGTGTTATTAAAGCTCTCTTGGGAGGGCTCCTCTTTGGTGGAAGCTATGTCTATTTCTCAAAAATGATTTAAGAGTAACATGTGAAATAGCACTTGCCCCTGAGGATGGAGCCAAAAGAGCACAGAGCATAGGGGAATTATTTGACGCTGTGTCTGAGGGACTGGAGAGAGGAATGTAAAAAGCTTATCCCTGAGAAGGAATAGGGGAGGACTTCCTTACCTGATATCTCAGATCATGAAGCTACAGTTCTTTCCCTGCTTTAGAGAAAGAAATAATAGACTTCTTGCAAAAATCAATTATTGAACATATTCTTATATTCTAGATTTATAATGAAGCATTTTTGTACATATTGTTAAAAAGTGTAATTAGAATATTTTTCTCGGGTTTACAGTAACTAGGATGGCAACACAAATATATCCGGGAAGTATTTCTTGGTATGATTCTTCAGCATAAAATTGTTTTAAAAACTTCTTAGAAGTCTCCAGGTACTCAGGAATACGGTCATTTTAAGTTATTCCTTATTGATGATAAGAAAAATAACTAGTCAAGACCACAAAACTAAATGTTTAGATTGTTTCTCCTGTTTCCTGATTTTTTCAGGTTATTTTTTAATCCCAATTTTATTTTGCTGTATAGTCATAAATTTCATCTTTGAAATAAAG